TTTTGAATATCTGCTTTTTTTATTAATGATGAACAGAGGTATGTAAAGCGTTTGAAATTACAACGTGAACATAATAATGGAACATGAATTGTTGATCCTGTGGAATGCGATGCTTCGCAAGTGTGTATGCTTGGATAACTATTTGTTTAATTATTACTAATAGTACCTATAAGAGAAGTTAAACACAACACCAATAAAGTTTTGGATGTATAAACTAAAAATAAAAAGTTTGGGATATATATCTAATTTAACCTTGTATCAAAAAAAAAAAAAAGCAAAAAGTTTGGGATATAGAGAGAAAAATATAAATAAGAAATGGACAAATATAATGGATATGATCACATCGAATGTTCGAAAGTGTTAAACTTTATTTTCCTTTCTTTCTAATTTGATGGGTAGAAATATAATCTTTAGTTATCCAATTACCTATAGCTCCACCTGTCCCTCAAATTGTAATAGTGAATAGACCATTTTGATTCAAATGATTATCTATCATTTGTTTTCTTTGACCCAAAAAAAAAAAAAATCTATCATTTGTTTCAATTGCAGAAGGTTGTGTCAGGGCTAAAATTTAAGATGTCAGGACTAAAATTTAAGATGTCAGGGCTAAAATTTAAATTATCCTTGATAATGTACGTTGAGGACAATATGGCATATGACATATATATGTATCAAACCTAAAAATGTTACCATGCCAGACAACAGCTGATCCGGTACGGACGAACAACGACGTTGATAAAAAAAGCTCGAAACGGTGAAGCGTTCAAGAAATAGACACATGGCACGACGTGATGTGGCACTAACACCTGCAGCTTTGTCTTACACCCTGCCAAACCTTTTCCGTTTTTTTTTTAAATTCAGATCCAATGCCTCAACACTCTGTTTGACTTGGTCTAAAATGTAACTTATTATTATATTTGAAGCTGCCGAATGTAAGGTATACTTTTTTTTTGGGTGATTTTGCTCAGAGACAAAATTGAGCAAGGAAATTAGGGATTCAACTATAGTAGGATTGGTTGGGGACAAACAAAAAATAGGCATGATGTTTGGGCATGAAGATGAAAAAAATAACGAAAATACCACATCGTTTTCGGTACATGCGCGTGGGCGAGTTGATATTGCCGTTTCATGAAGTCAAAGAATAACCTGCAAAATAATTAATGCTACGAGTCAAATTGACAAAGCTTACAAAAAGAATGAAGTGATTGGCCATAAATGCAACAGCTCTTATCTCGAGCGAATTAGTATTGGCAATATGTAGAGTATTATTAGTATTTGTATACATGTAACAACGTATATAGAGAATTATTAATATTTTTGTATTTATAAATATTTAGATGTAGATCTACAAAGCTTTTTGGACATCTATGCAAAGATCTATAACGCAAAAATGCAGATCTAACCAAACTCATAGAGAGATATCATCCATGCAAAGATCTATAGCAAAAATGCAGATCTAACTAAACTCATAGAGAGATATCAAGCAATTTAGATAAATAAATTATCAGAATTCTCCGATACGGTGAGTTAAATAGCATATACGAGAGAGTGATTGGGATTCTCCGGCGCCGTGAAGTGAATAATATACACGACGAATCAGTTACATCGGAATGAAGAGGAATTAAACAGTGATGCTAGAGAGAGATGATGAGACTTAGGAAAACGATGAACAAGCGAGGTAAATGTACATCCAAGAATCAAGAAATATTAATGAAAACAAAAATTTATATGCATAAGCGAGTGGGGTTAAAATTGGGCAAAATAGAGGCTAAAATTAGTGTTGTTCTGGGCTTTGTGTCAGTTTATCAAAAAACTAAATAGTTCTCTCAATAATGTCTCTCACCCAATTATCTCTTTTTTTTTTTACATAGAATCTAAGGTATATATATGATGTTGGTATATTAAAATAAAATCAAAGATCTTTCTATAAAACCTTACATTATCTTCTTTACGCCTATGTAACATAAGTAATATTAGAATTATGTCTTCCCTACAAAAGTAAGATATAAAGTAAGATATAAGGGAAGAGAAATGTTGGCATTGGAGATATCCAGAAATATAAGAGTAACAGGTTAGTGTGAAGATTATTTTTACATTAGTGTTTATATTCGTAATCACCTTAGCATGTTAAATTGATAGTAGTATATAATAGATGAAAACTACTTTACGTCTTGAAAAGTTGTTTGATATTAAGTTTTTACCCTTACTGTTAGTGTCACATGTCCCACGTATCTACGATATTGGATTGGGGTAATAGTATATGTTATGAAACATTGAAACTAACGTGGTATATAGAGGATTAGATACTCAATAGTAAGAATTGATATATAATAATATACTAGATCATAATCCGTGTTATAATACGGGTTGAAATTTTTTTCATTCAATAAAATTCTAAATTTTATTTTTCTTAAATTTTGTTTTTTGAAGTAAAAAATGTTATAGTATAAATTTTGAGAATTTTATGTCATATCATGTTCAAATATTTTTTTAGTTGGATTAAATGTTGTATTGTATTTACTTTGTTTTAAAATATGTTTTCATAATAAAAAAACAAAAGATAAGATTGTAGTGTATCTAGGATAGTTTGAGTTGTATTTATATTGAATTGTTTGTTAGTATGACATAAATATTTATTTTGGTCCAATTTAGACTTTTTATTTCTATTCCCTCATAGTTTATTTTGTGGGCCAATTTAGTTTACCTTTGTATTAACATGGCTATAAAAATTAGTATATGATTCATCATCTCTTTTATTGTGAAAACATGTTGATTGCATCCATTTGATATACTTAAGATATCATAACTCTTTATATCATATAATACATTACATATGACCCTCCGTATGCTATAAATATTTTAAGTATATCTGCTTAAAAATCAAATTAGAGTATTTACAATTTTTAACTTTTTGATCTGTTAAATATTTATGATATTCTTTAAAAATATTAAATTAAAATATTTTTAAATGTTTCAAATTATAATGTTTAAGAAGTTTATTGTAGTATATAAAAATATAAATTTTTTAAAAAAAAAGAATTTTATGAAATTTAATATAAATATTAAAATAGTTATAAGGATCATAACTCATTCCATCATATAATACATTATATTTCACCCGCCAACTATTATAAATATTTTAAATATATCTGTTTGAAAAATAAAGAGTATTTATAGTTTTTAACTTTTTGATCTATTAAGTATTGATGATATTCTTTAAAAATATCAAGTAAACCTATTGTTAAATGTTCCAAACTAAAATATTTTAAAAGTGTATTATAATATATAAAATTATACATTTCAAAAAAGAAATATATGAAATTGAATATAAATATTCAAATTTTGACCAGTTACTTAGTCAGAATTTTTTTTAAAAAAAAATAGATTACTCAAGTCTGAATATTTGACCCGTTACAATTTTTTCTCCATAGATTGAACAATTTATATTTGTTTTTAAAAATTCAAATTATGGCATATGCAGAAATAAATATATTTTTATATATTATATGGATGATATGATGATTTATTTGTTTTACAAAAATAGAATTTTATAAAAATGGGAAGTGAAGTATAATGATTAATAACAAATTAATATGGTAAGTTAGATATCAAATCTTATATATTCATATTGATCGGTCACTTTTTAAAAAATTAATAGTATATTTTTGTTTTAATAATTTAATTAAATTAATTAAACTGCATGATAAGGCGATAACAGTTTATTGTTCTAGAAGATTCGTGGTATCAGAAGATTATTGATTCCAAAGATTTTGTTTCTATTCAACTATACTTGGCCGCCAAGTTTCTCACCTCCAAATTTATAATGGTCCTTTACCTTTCCCATAAGTCCTTTTGTGGGGTTGGTTTTCCACTACACCCTAATTCTAATTAAAGTCCCAATTACTTGCCTTGTCCATTTCCTACTTTTAAAGCTAAAAAGAACTCAGAATATTTTTCGTCTCAGAATCGAATCAGTAATTATTTATTGTTAGCTCCTTTGCCTTGGTTTCCAATTTCCATCCTCTAGAATCTCTTTTATTCAAAGTTCAAATACATAGAAGTATGTATGTTCTAAGCCAGAATTGCATCAGTTCACATTGACGGTGGATCTCAATCATTTCATTAGACTTCCACCCTCTTTTTCACATTCAGAAGATGTAACAATGTCTTAAAAGAGAGATGAGAAGCATTAGTAAGAAATTTTTGTAAAATATGGAACTGAACGGTTAAAACTTGGGTATTCATAGGTTTTCTGCGTTCTAAAAAATATATTTTGGCCAGGCCATTTTGATCATATGCTAGGTTGTTTGAAGCATCAACCTCCGATCCGATTTTGGAAATATCCTAGAGCATAAAGAGTTAAGCTATCCAATTAAGAAATTTACTAGATCCTGACCCGCACAGTTGATATGTGCGGGTGATATGTTTTAATATATGTTTTTGTATAAAGTTTGTATTAGTATTTTCTTTTGTTGTGTTAGTGAATAATTATAATAGTATATATAGCATAAATGTTTCATAATAATTGTGAAATTATGTTTAAAAAATAGTGTGCTTTATTAAAATATATAGTTTGGTGCATAACAAATGATTTAACTGTTGGAGAAGTTATGTGTTGAAAAGTTATAATTTAAATGTTTGCATAAAGAAATGGTTTTAATTATACATAGAGAAATGGTTTGATAGTAATTTTATTTTTCGAAGTCCAAACTACCCGTTACAGTCCCATATCCGATATTTCATGTCATAATACACGAAATGGACAGACATGAAGAAATGGGAGGGAAATAAAAAATTTCTCAATTGGCGATTGTTCATCTTTCTCTGTAAAGGTGTCAAACAGGCCCGTGTCCAGCTGGGTTAGCTCGCGATAGGCATTATTTTTTTATGGACCGCGATGTGCCGACCAACTATAACAGTGGGAAAAAAAAACTATGTTCAGGCATGTCCCGCTAAGACCAACGGGTTCGCGGGTCGGCATGCGGGCAAGAAAAAATCTTTTAATAAAATTAAGTTTATAACCTGACTTCTACAATCTAAAAGACAGACTTTTAAGTTTCTCATACTAAAAACGAAAATGGATGTTCCAACAACTTTTGATACACACCATCATACTCTTCTCTTAACATTCAGGTTTTCATCTAACCTGGAATAAGAAGAACCATATAACAGAATTACATTGTGAGTAATAAAGAAAACAAAAAATAGAGAAGTTGTTTTTCTGGTTTACCTTTTTTATTGTGTAGTCACTCAATATTTTTCTCTTTTGAGAGTATGTTTTGATTTTGGAGTAAAAGAGATTTGAGAGGTTTTGGTGAATTGGAAATGATGTAGATAACTACAATATTTATACTAAAAAGAAGTCGGCGAATTCATAGATAGTATTTTAGGTTTTAAAACAATAAATCTTATACAATCTTGCTAGTTACCTAAAATTTAGTTTCTGTATTGGAATATGCTCCTGAGATTCCGTGTATAATATTAAGAGAATGTCTATATTAATAAATGTAGATACGAACATTTGTTTGGAAAATATAGATTTACTTTGTTGATGATTTGATAATCCTTGATATCAGGATGTAGATTATACTACTATTAAATCGATATGAACAAATAAAGAAATTAGTTAGTACGACTTTGAAAAAATGAGTTTAAAGCTATTTATTAAGGATTTTAAATACAATTAGTGATATATATATATATATATTAGATAATTTATAAGAAATGATTGAAATTAAGATTTTCGAGTATACAAACCTTGAATTACGTGGTTAACTTTTATAGTTAATAATATAAATTTTTTAGGAAATATTCAATTTGTTTTTTATGCCTAAGATTTTAGTAGTTTTAGTAAGTGCTTAATATATGAGATCTGATTTGAAATTCGAATTAATCTTTAAATTGTCGAGTAGTTATGGAAATGACAAATAACTAGGATAATATATTTGATTCTGATTTCCTTATTATCTATGTTTTAATTGATTAATTATTTATTTATTTTATACAGTAATTGATAACTAACATTTTTGGTTTTAGTGATTAATTGTTAATGAATTTTATTGTTTAATCTTCAAATCCAAAAATCATAATGGCAGTTTACGTAATATTCTACCCTTTATAAGGTTGTTTATTTTTTAGTGATTCCCAATTAATAGTATAGATGTGTTAATCGGTTAATTAATATTGATATATACATCGAAAGCTCTTGAAAATATCTGAAAATAAACGAAACATTATATAAAGTATATCGGTAACTAACGTTTACCAAATTAGTTTCTCAGACAAACCATACTAATTAGGAAAGGTGAGATATAAACGACATGGACCGACCCGGTTGTGACTTATTAGTGCCAATCAACTATATCTCCGAATGTTGTTGAGCCAACTCCTTCCCACACTTCACTATGTCCCACTTCTTCTGAATCAACACCTTCCATATCACAGTCCCACCATCCTGAACCATTTGCATCTGTTGGCAAGTTCATAAGTATGGGTTACAAAGAGTTTTTGTCTCAAGTGAAAGTAAAAAGTGATTGAAACTTGTGTCACTCACAATGGTTGTATGTGGATCTCTGCTTCTTACTATTGTTGTTGCTTCCTCTTTCTCTTTCCCTTTGCATTGACTTTGATACCTTTGAGTTGTCTCCAAAGACTATAACAGGCTTTCCCGTTCTACTCGTGCTCTCCATACCTAGTGATTCAATGTATACTCTTATCAACTATTGAGATCTCAAAGGTCATAAACCATTAGTTTCTACCATGAAAATTAAGATCTTAGGTCTGTAAGCCAACAAGAAGGAGAAAAGGCATGTGACCTGAGGAACAGGAACATTAACTATGAAAATAACAACTTCAAAAAGTAATAATAATTTAAGTGGCATACCTTCAAAAGGATCTTTTCTTTTCTTTGATGTTTTATCGTCCCTCACGATGATATCTTCATTGATTTCAGTGGAGACCGCAGCCATATGATCCGTTTCTTCAGCAGCGGTTTGATCCAACGACTCAAGACTAACCTCACCAGTTACATCTCTACTCACTTCTTCACTTACCTGAGTCTCTCTTGGCTTGAACTGCTGAAGCATCATCTTTTCAAGACCACCATCTCCGTTTTTCCTTTCTTCCCTCGCTTTTCTCTCCATGAGAGATTTGAGTCGATCTCTAGAGCTAACCAAAGAAGTGAATGGTCTTAGCCGCTCCTGTTCAAAAACCAAGGACCAAATCTTATAGATGATGTCCACAATCTAAATCTCTGACAAATTTGCAATTGCATCCCCAAAAACTAAACTATAGTGACAACATAAAGTTACAAAAAGGGTACTCAACTAAAAGTATTCATCATAATCTATGAACTTTAATCTGTGCATCACATACTACGTATATAATGTCACAAGAAAACTCTAACACAACATATTCCACAAAGAGGTATTTACCCAAATCTAGAAAGATATGTAACCCCAATAAACAAAGCAAATTCAGAACTCACAAATTTGACCCCTCCTGTTCAAGAACCAAAGACCAAATCTTAAACATGAGGTCCACAAATCTAAATCTGTAACAAATTTGCAATTGCATCCCAATAACTAAACTATAACAACAACATAATCCATGAAATTTAATCTGTGAATTACATACATTTCACAAGCAAAGAAGAGAACTCTAACACAAACATTCCACAATCTCTTAGCATTAGCAATTTAAAGGTTTCAGCTTTTGGCTCGTAAATAAGAAAATGAAAACCATTTTCCATTAATTTCAAGCAATGGACCTTATTTTCAACGTAAAACCCAGTTCCTTCAGAAAATCGTTACCTCAGTGTTGTTGGGCTTAAACAGAACTGATTTGTTCAGCTTGCTACAATTCTCCACTTTCTCCGACGGATTTTCCGGAGGGTCATCGACACTATAAACATCGAATTGAATTACTCAAATCTATAACCTTAAGAGAGTTATTGGCGAATTAGGGAATCGGCGAGAGAGATAAGAGATTGAACGCTTACGGAATCGAGCTGAGATTGAGGAAGGAAGAAGCAATTGATCGCTGACCAAAAACCCTAATTTTAGGAATTGGCTTCTTCATCTTCTTCTCCTACTCCTCCCCAACTTGCCTCTCGATGAAGAGACGTTTTTACTTCTTTTTTTCTTTTTGGTTTTTTTTTTTTTTTGTTTCTCCAAAATTTTCCCGCCAACTGCAAATATTTTTGGGTCAAAAACATTTTCAACAAAAAATGTACGCATATATCGAGTTAAAAAAAATGTATATGAAATAGATATTTCATGTTTTTGTTCAAAACTATGACCACGAAGATGATAGTGTCTTTCTAAAAATCTTTTTAAGTTTTTTTTTTAGAAGGAGCCAAATTAGCAACACTATGGAAATATAATTGGAATTGAAATCATAAACGGTTAAGGGAAGAGAACGAATGGAGGCGAGTCTAATCTCTTTCATTAACTATTTGAATCACCTGTAGTGCGACGGGTATCTGTGATTCAAGAGTCTCAGGATACAACCAAACTCAACACGTTTCGCAACCACTTGAATACACGGTTCTGAACGAATTATCGAACTACAATACTCTCGAGACACTTACTGTAAAACAAAGAGATTGTTGGAGCTTTTTGTTTTTGATAAATGTGTGTAAACGTTCAAGTGTTTTCTCAGTAAAGAAGAGGACTTGAAGCGTGAGTTTTTATAGAGGTTTGGGATTACTTAGGTTTGAATTTGTTTTCCACGAATCAACCCACGACAATCGCAAATCTAGGAATGGTGGGTGACTTGATCTCTCAACAACTCCTATTCTCATGGAGTCGAGGAAACAGAGAAGAGTGAGTCTTCAAGGACGTGAAACACATCTCGATTTTTAGCTCTTATTTACTCCTTTCAAAACCCGATCCAACACCTTATCGGAGTTCCATCATGAGCCAATCCATTGTGGTCCATTTTAATATATTCACACAATTTGATTATACTAAACCCAATTGGGCTTTAGTAAAAATTGGCCCAACATTTTATGCATTCTCTAATCTAACCAAATTTGAAAATATAATCTAAACATATCAATTGAAAAAAAAAATCTTAACCTGAAATTCAATCTAAAAAGTAGTATATTACTGTTTTTAGTTATGATCAAGATTCAGAGAGGAAGATGATGAGTTAAATTTTTTGTGTTTTTGTAAAAAAATAGCCATAATATTAGGTAAATTATATAATTTTACTTAAGTTAAGTCATGGGTTTATGGGCTGCTAATGTAAAGTTTCATTTTAATTTCTAAGGGGAACCAAATTTCCAAGTATTTTGGGCTTCCTTTTTTGTTTCATGTACTTGAACATCGTGAGTCAAATTTTATTTTATATTGAGTCAAAATTTATTTTATATTGCTTTCTACTTGAAAGTTGTAAAGCTTTCCAAATATCTTTCTTATATATAAACTTAACATTTAAAAGATAACAACCATTCACTCCCACTAAGGAAACATTTATTTTCTTTTTTCATGTAATTCAAAATTCATCTTCAAATATGAATATTTTCTACAGCATTTTTTAAAAGAAATAATCTTTAATAAATTAATTGACAGCTGTAAACAATTAATATAACAACTCTATATTAAGAAAAAAATCTTAATGTATTTATGATATAGTGAGGCATATTAAGAAAGAAATTCAATATAATTACACATTTAAGAAAGAAAAAAATTACTTCCACTAATTATAGAAAATTTTATTTCTATTTTTTTTATTCGTTTTTTCATGTGATTCTTCTCTAAATATGGATATTTTCTACAATTTTTTCTTTATAAAAATAATCTTTAATGAATTTACTTGACAGGCTGTCAAAAATTAATATAATAAACCTATATTAAGAAAAAAATCTCAATGTAGTTATGATATAGTGAGGCATATTGACAAAAGGTTTTCAATATAAGCACACATTTTAGAAGAAAAAATAAACATTCACTCCCACTAATTATAGTCAAATTTATTTCTATTTGTTTCTTGTTTTTCATGTGATTCATAGTCATATATGGATATTTTCTACTTGTTTTCTTCTCTAAAAACAAAAAAAATCATTAATGAATTAATTACTTGACAGCTATAAGAACATTTTTTATATAACAACCTTGTATTAAGTTTAAGAAATTAATGTGAATTTTAATTTTTTTTAGAGGTCCCTAATTGTAAAATCATGAAGTATTGGTCCTCTTGAAATCATGAATTACCACACAATAGTTACTAGATCTAATTGGTGCGAAATACTTTAAATAACCGTTATTTATTATTAGTTATTAGATACACATAACGGGCGCGAAACATTTTAAAAATCCGTTATCTATTGATATTTGTTAGTTATTTAAGATCGACAACTAATCAACCTCATATGTATAAAAATCTCACATTATTTAGCTAGTGTATGTAACTATTTTGTTTTTAACTAAACAAAGGTTGTTTTCGTCAAAGATATATATACTAAACTAAAAGAAGTTTGTCTATATAAATGTGAGTTCCATTGTGGAGTTTCAGACACAGTGTTCTTTTCTACTCTCAAAGAGTACATAACTTTTCTTTCTCTTTGTTTAGAGGGTTTTGAGATTTTGTTATGAGTGTTGTTGCTTAACTTTTTGGGTTTCGGGATTTGGAATCTGTTTATACTATGGCAAATATGGGTGAAAGGACTAACGTTAACAACCTCGACCATGCTGATGATGAGTGTAGGATTTGTCTCGAGTCACTGCAAGTTGATATTCGAACCCGAACCCCGGTTAAGCTTCGATGTGGTCACTTGTATCATCTAGGTAATCTTTTTCTTTTTGTGTTTCAAATAAAAAAATTCTTATGAGATTTTGTTCTATGATTTAATTTTCTTATCCTTGATCTTTCTTATCTCTCTCTCCACCAAAATTGTCCTAATAGATATGAGATAATTTAGTGGTTTAGCTTAGCTTGCTGATCCGATAATTAATTGTATTTTTTCTGATTTGTTTCTTAATCATAGATCCATGTACTCATGTGTGACGGTAACAAAAGCTAAATTAGATTTGGTTTTTCTTATACACTATGTTGTGATATCTAACACCTTTTGTTGCCATTATACTATAGATTGTATCGGTTCTGCTTTCAATGAAAGGAATAAGATGTTATGTCCGACTTGTAAGCGAGTGGAACAAGGTAATTGGAGGTTTGCACGCAGCTCTCCAAGTCAAGGTCTCAATGCACCATCGGTTCAGCCACTTATGGGCGGTTTACCAGTACCGGTCTTGCGTGGTTTAATGTTGCCATCTGCTGGGAGACAACTTGGTAGAGTACCAAATCAAGGTTTCAATGTACCGTTTGTTCAGCCACTCATGAACGGTCCAGCACCACCGGTCAGTCGTGGATCTTTGTTGTCATCTGCTGGGAGACAACATCGGAGAACACCAAGTCAAGATTTCGATATATCGGTTGTTCGGCCACTCGTGGAGGGTTTACCTGTAGCAGACCCGGATGACCCTATGTTGACATCTGTTGAGAGAGAACTTGGTAGAGTATTACCAGATCCACATAGATCAACTTCATCTCCGTGGTCTAACCAATCGAGGCGTGGACCTATGACATCTGTTGAGAGACAACTTGGTAGAGTATTACCGACTCCACCTATATCAACTTCATCTGCGCGGTCTAACGTATCGGTCAGTGAATCTTCCTTGGATTTGACGCGACAACAACAGATATCAAGAAACATATCTCGTACTATTGCTGCTAAGGAACCTCGTCAACATCGCACGATGTATGGTTATGACATTAGAAGCAGCGGTGGAGAAGGTGGAAGTTACAGCAGTGGTAGCGGAAGTAGCAGTGGTGGAGCAAGCGGAAGCTACAGCCGTGGTAGCGGAAGTAGCAGTGGTGGAGAAAGCGGAAGCTACAGCCGTGGTAGCGGAAGTAGCAGTGGTGGAGAAAGCGGAAGATACAGCCGTGGTAGCGGAAGTAGCAGTAGTGGAGAAAGCGGAAGCTACAGCCGTGGTAGCGGAAGTAGCAGTGGTGGAGAAAGCGGAAGCTACAGCCGTGGTAGCGGAAGTAGCAGTGGTGGAGAAAGCGGAAGCTACAGCCGTGGTAGCGGAAGTAGCAGTGGTGGAGAAGGCGGAAGCTACAGCGCAGATGAGGAGGAAATAGTTTGGAAGGGATTGCAACAGCTCAAAGGGCGGTAATGACGAAAACAATAGCAACGGGACGCGGTGGTGATCCACAAGCAGAAACGGTGGATAAGCAACATAAGCAGTGGATTAGAGCCCAAAATTTCAAGAGTTTTCGAAACTTAGACCTATTTTTCTCTTTTCATTTGTTTCAGTTCTGAATTTTCTTTAAACTAAAAACAAAAATTGTTGTTCTTCTTGTTTGCATTGCATAAGTTAAAAAAAAAAAAAAAAATTGAATGAAGTTAAAAGTTTTTCAGTCTATACACATCCCTATATCAGTGTTGTTCATCGTTACTTTTGTTATCTAAATTTTATTTATAGAATACTATAGTGTCGAAAATGGCAAAGAGGCTCAAAGCAAATTCAGATTAAACACAAAGTAGACTACGTATAGAAGTTTTACCCGTTTTATATGTCATAGCCAAAAACAATGGACCTACAAGTGCCAAACATGAAGAATATACATATGAACATTGGTAATGTGGGAGAGGAAAATCTAGATATGTCGCCGCCTGATTTCTCCCTTCCTTCGCCTACTTCCCTTTCCATCAAGCCGAATATGTTAAACGTCAAATGGTTTTAACTTTTATTGAATACATATATAGATCACAAAGACATTATAGAGATATATTGAACTAGTACCTCGAAATTGCAGGGGGAGTGCAAACATTTGGTTGACGGACAATGTAGATTTGGTCTCCAGAGCTGTAGTTTTTATAGACATCTTGATTCCTTTGCCATGTCCACAAGGCGTGCGTTAAATTCATGACCTGTATCAACACTTTCTAGTGGTCAGGTCTCGTCGCATGAAAGAGAATCACTCTTTCTTACAGTACCATCCATGTTTCTTAAGAGTAAATAGAATCGATGTTTCTTATAAAACAAGTGAAGATATACCTCGAGGATTCCATGGCCGAAGCTGCTCTCTCTAAAGGCACTCCAATCAGGTTGTCTGTCCCAGCAAAACTTGCCTTTTGCAGGGCCAGAAGTAAAATTTAAAGGGCATGATCCCCCTATCTCGGGGATGTTGTCTCCTGGAGAAGGACACTTCCCAGGATCATCCGCAAAGTCCACATCAACTTTCTCAATGTTTCCACCATCTCCTATTGTTATGTAAACTGGCCCACATGGGTCTAGTGTGTAGTTGTATATGCGGTTCATTCTCTCGTATGCATGTACCTTCAGTAACAATAAACGCCAGTTTTAGTCATACAAATAAGGCAAAAAACAGTTCTAAATCACTAGAATTCAACCTCACTACTGCAATATGGCTGAGTTTCAAACAAACATTGACAAGATATGAACCAAATTCGACAACAAGAGGAAAAAATCGAAGAGTAGAAAACTCTGTTTCACCAAGATAATTTGAGAACTTACATGTCCTGCAAACACGATGTCGACACGGTGTTGGTAAAGAAGCTCTTCCATTTCCTGCCTCATGCATTCAAACTCCTGGTAGTGCGAGGAGTAGCTGTTATACCAAGGCGGATGCATTGTTGCAACCAGCCAAGGTGTCACTGCACGATCAACTTTAGACAAGTCTTCTTTTAGCCATGCATACTGCAGTCCTAAAACAAACACATAATCGTTCATAGAAATGAGATTAATTGTAGTAGGAACACAAGATATCTTCCTCATAAATAATGAAATAAAGCATACATCTGCTTTTCTAAAGTCAAAGCAAAGAGACTGCAGATGTTTACCAGTGTGATTGTAATTAACATAAGCACCCAACATAACAAAATGCACTCCTCCAGCATCAAAAGAATAGTAGAAGTTGCTGTTGGAGCCACTCTCACTTGCAGGAACTGAAAACCTTTCAGAATATGACTTAAAGGTGATCCCTGAAGCTTGAGGCTCAATCTCATGGTTGCCTTCAATGACCATCGTTGGGACCTTGGAAGTCAGTGGCTCCATGAACCTGCACAAAAATAAAAGATTTATTACCAAGATCTCCTAAGCTGAACAAGAACAACACCAAGTTTTTCAACTCCAACTTGCAAACCACAGATAGTAAGTTTTACCTTCCCCAGGCATCCCAGCGAGGTTGATACGTCTCCCTAATAGGTGCATCGGGAAACGAACATGAGAAGCATGAAGCTCCTTTGCCACCAATTGTACGATACTGGTTTGCATACGATAAGTCCCCAACAATTATAACCAGTGAAGGGTCATTTTCCATCAAATGGTCAATGGTGGTTGTTGTGTTACTAGTAAGACCCATATCCCCAACAAAGGCAATTCGATGAGGATACCCATCTTTACTTGGCAGTGGCAAAGTCTCAAAAGAAATTTCCTCACTCATTGCAGAAACAGAGCTATCGCCGCATCTGTAATAATACTTAGTTTCTGGTTCCAGACCTACAATATAATACAAGTCAGTCACAACCAATATCTGCAAAAATACAATCTTTCCAAATCTGAACCATGGTTCCATAAATTCAATGCAGATTTAGAACAAGGGCGTCTCAAAAACATAACCTTTCTTTCTACTAAGGAAAATATACACACACCACAAAGCCAAAGTGTTTTAGTGTTCTAACAGTTCCTTCCTACCTAATTAGATCCCTAGCTTTAACACTGCAAGTTTTCTCTCTGCATACCAAGTAATGTCAACTCTTAGAACTTAGAAGCAAGGTAAGACTCAGCTCAAAACAAAATAAAGTCGTTATTACCATCAATGAGGACATGGTGTATGATGCCTGATGTGTAATTAAGGAGACCATTAAAGGGATACAACTGACTATAAACTGTTGCATTTCCTTTCTTCTTTAGCAAATAGTTTCCTTTCTCTTTCCCATACCAAACCTCACTAGCAATCGAACTAGGATCAAGCGGTTTCACATCTTTTCCAACTATAGCATCACCTAAAAATTAAGCATATAAACAAAACTCTCACAATCTAAGTTCAAATAGGAGTCAAAGAGACAAATTTCAAAGCCTAGAGATCTTAATATAGTCAAGTTGTCATAAATTAACCAAATAGGAGTAAAATTGAAATAAAAGACAAAACTTTGAAAACAGAATTTACCAGTGACCCAAGAAACCCACATGGAGGTTGGAGTAGAGAGAGCTAAAGCAATCTGTTCTGGAAAATTGGAGCTGACGTTTCTCTTCCTCAGCCTTGGATGATCCATAGGTAAGTCGTCACTGCCTCGACGAAGAGACGGGTCAAACCGGCGGGTCAGTGGCTTGAATGGACCGTCTAAAGTTGTTGGGATTGTTTCGCCAGCGGCAAGTAACAACGACATTGAGGTTAGGGTAATGATTATTAGTGAAGTCATGGTTCATGAGTTTGTCTCTTTGGTTCCAGTTTCGTATGCGTGTTGAGTTTTGATGGTTTTGAGCGTAGACGACCATGCCGAAATTTTGAGAATATGCCATTGATATTCTCTGTGTACTTTACGTTCTTGTATACGTGTCACCATTTATTTGGAGCTCTGGTTACTATTTGGCTATAGAGTGTTTTTTAGAGAAAATTATCATTTCACATTTTTTATTGTAAACTTTTCAAACAAAATTTTAATTAAAGTTTTATCTGAATAACCAAAATTAATAGAGTGAATTTGTGCAGAGACAAAAATGGGACATGAAATTAGGTAATCGACATTAGTGGATTTTGTTTGGAACAAGAAAAAAATAAAGAAGATAACTAGGTATGAAGTTCGACTTAATAACGAAAAAACCAGGCTTGATTTTAAAGTATGTGCGTGGTAGAGAAGTTTATGCCTTTTAAAGCATCTAAAAGAACAACCTGACGTTTAATAAATGCTCCCAGTTGAACTAACATAATTGATAAATGTTCTCCAGTTAACAGAAAGAATGAGGTGACGGTTTATTAAATGCAAATGACTTTATTTGAACTTTATAAAATTTGAATCTGTAACAAAAGCAATTTTCGACGAGAATCGAAAAATGTAAACAACTAACATAGTTTCATGGACACCTAATAACTAGTTCTTCGAATTTTTAAACAACTAACATACAGTTGCATGGAAACCCAATGAATATTTTACACGATTTTGACATTTGTACACAGATAAACACATACATAAAGCATTAGAAATAACTAAAATATTAAATAATTCGGTTTATGTGTACATATAAATATATATATAGAGAGCTTTATTAACATTTGTATACATGTAAACATGTATATGGAACGTTATTAAAATTTGTATACTTGTAAACACGTATATAGAGGTTAATTAACATTTGTATATATGTAAACATAAATATAGAGCGTTATTAACATTTGTATAAGTGTATGCACGCTACAATATATATTACAATCATCGTATCCTAATAAGTGGAGATCTACGAGAAGTAGTGGATGTCTAAAATTGAATCTAACAAAAACAAGTAGAGATACAAGTGGATCGGAAAAGAGGTATCAGAAAATTTAGAAAAAAGCTTCAGAAATCAAAAGACGAAGATTGAGTGAAAAGATGAGACAATGATGGATCATAACGCATGAACAAACGAAATTAATTCAAAAAAATTAAGATTTAAAAACGGTTCAAGAGATAAACAAGCATATGCGGTCTTATCTTCTACCGGTTTACTAAAATGGACTAGAAACCTTAGGGAAAAAACTAGACGCAACGGCGGTGTTTATCTACTTCTCCGAATCAGATACGAACAGAAGAAATCCAGATGGGAAGAAGATGAAACTTAGCGTTTATAGAGATATAGAAGAAGAGAGATAAAGTTAACCCAAGCGTCAGATGCAATAGATACGGTTTATGGTTTGGACAGATTTTCTCTAGCGCGTGAGGTTAAAGTTGGTAAAAAAAGGGGCTAAAATTATCGTTGTCTTGGGCCTTGAAAACATAATGCCGAAAATTTAATTTCAACTGGATCGGTTGTCTCTCACCCAATTATCTTAAATTAATATTCTTTTATGAAATAAAATTTTCATAATATTTACCAAAATAAATCATACAATTATTCGTCATCTAAATTGACGAAGATAAAGGTAAAAAGGAGTGAAATAAGAAAGAAATAAAACATTGGTGGAGTTGAGTGAGTTTAGTAATAAAATTTAGAGACTTTTTTTTTTGTTTATAATGGAGAGAATTATAACATCTAGAGAAGACCATTAAGTGAGATGTGATCTGAATAGTGTATAAATTTGGCTAAGAAAGTAGAATAGACTCAGATTAAGTCTAGAATAACTAAGAGGGTTCAATATTGATTCTCTAAGCACATGGAATGTTGCAAGGTTGAAATTTATTTTTAAGACACTATGAGCTGAGAATAGTTGAGTTTTGAGTAACCTTAGACTTGACCACAGAGAGACCAATATTTTTATACTAACTAAACACATATTGGCCATGGAATGTTAGGACTTATTTGGATTATAAAAAAATCAAGATCGAATTTACATGGACTTTAGCTTGAGGGGATCCGAATGTATATATAGTAACTTGGTGACAAACTCACGGTCAAATGGGAAATCAAGTGTCTAGTTAACATTATCGAAAGGTTTTATTATTTGAGGGAATGTTTTGAACACCATGATTTTCATACATGAACCGACACCGTTTCTTTAACTTCCTTCAAGTTCGATGAAGAAGAAGAATCCCACCCAATTAGTTTCATAGATACGAATAAAAACAGTTCTGGAGTTACGAATATTGCAAACAAAGAGAAATGATATATAAAAGAAGTACGTAGAGATATAAGAAAATGACGGATAATGGAGCGTGAGGAGAGTCCATGATTGGCTCCGGTGGGGTTGGAGAAAGGATGCAGAAGAAACATAAAAGTGTCTCCCTAAAAGGTTAACTAAAGAATTGTTGCATACGTTTTCACTTTCCCCACATCTTATTCATATTTTCTAAGGTGGGTTCTTGGTAGGTTAATTTGTATAGAGTTCCTCCATTTTAAAACTTGAAGATATTAAGAACTTAATATTTAACATTACATTTCTACTTACTTATAATTGTCATGGAGTTCGTAGATTTTTGTAAACTTTTTTCCCACAACATTTTTGTAAGGTTAACCATGTTTATGTTCTTTTAGAAGTTTTCCAAATATTGTCGTGAAGATTCTTTTTACGTGCATAGAATAGCATGTGTAGCAACCAATTATTTCATATCTTCCATTTTGTTTTTCTTTTGTTAACAAATAAGTTTCTCTGTGATAGGAAAGTCTTCCATTATATTATTCTTCTCGAGCGAGCGTATATAGATAATAACAAAGTTTTTTTCCTCATCTAGATATACATTCTAGTTTTGCTAATATTTCTTTCAAGTTATAATATATGATTTTCTTGTTTGTTTTAAAAATATACTGGAGCTTTAGGTTCATGTTATGATTGTGAAAATAACTTATTATACTAACTATATATGATTACTTTTGAATAAAATTACAATAAGGGATTATACTCAACAATAAAAATTAAAAAAATAAAGAATTCAATCTAGGCTATATATCTATGAGTCATGACGAGATCAAATTATTGATAGAATTATTTGTAGGAGGCATTCAGTAAGGATGCTGTGATTGATTCTAACGGTATAGTGAATAACGGAACAATGCATTATCAAAGTACGATCATTTACCAAAGTTACGAGGATCTTCATTTACTTATGGGTTTGGGTAATGAGATCTTAAAATCGAAAAAATCTTACTGTTTCTGATGTGTGGCTAGATTACATAAATGCATGTTTTAGTTTATAAAAGTTTAAGTACTTAAAAAATCTAGTTGCATTTTAAAATTTGATAGAGATCCAGCAACTTAAAAATTTGAAAATCACATTTGATTGTACAACTGTTAATTATAATTTCCGGTTAGATTGGGCGATAATTCTCGTACCTACAAGATTAATTAAGTAAAAAAACAACTTGAAATTTTATGGGAGCAACATTGATGTTTGTGTATTTTTATCTCAACAACGATCACTCGAATTTGCATGCATATAAACACATTTTTAAAATTATCGTCGTGCAAATATATAAAAAGATAATTTAGTACGAAAAGTTTGTGTCGAACCGTTTCTATCCACATATGTAAACAATGTTCTTAAGAGTTGGCTCTTTTGAACTAAATCAGTTACAGCTGTTGAAACAAAAAAAAAATCATGTAAGAAAAACTCAAACTTAACACAAATTTTATAAAATGTGTTATCTTATTACTTTATGTAAAGTTGTTAATTTTTGAACTAGAGTACAGACCAAATCAAAAGTAGAAAAAAAAAATCTTAATAATATTTATAAGGTTAAGATATTTTACTGCACTATAGTACTATATCTTATATTCTTATAATATCCTTAATTGCATGTATATCATATGTTATACTAGAAAAAGACCCACGCGATGCGTGGGAAAAGTTTGAATATATTTTATCGTAAAAAAACTAAATTAGTTTAACCTAAAATCTTATTAGAACCTGTATTATAAAGAAAGTATTAACAAAGAAATCTTCCAAATTATTTATTAAAAGTATTAGCAAAAAATCTTCCAATTTATTTCTTCTTTACAATGACTTAAAAAGTTGTAATTTACATGTTTAAAGGAATCTTATGAATTGACAAAACATTATCAATATATTTGAATGGCTTTTGAATTAACATTTCGAGGGAGATTGGAAAACTAATGAGAGGGTTTTGTGTAAAAAAAAAAGAATATTACCATCACAAATAGAATTTATACCACAATTATAGAAAACAAAATAGTACTCTTAAATCCTAATAACTAAATAAATTTAATAAAATAATTTATTAAATAATTTAATAAATTGTAATTTAATGTAGTGAATTTTTTTTGTAACTTATGTGTATCTATCGAGGGTAACAAAATTTTGAATTAAAGTACTACAAAATAATGTTGGATTACCGTTATAAAGCTAAGAAAATGTAAAGACACAACATTAATGGTAAACCTTAATAGAAACATACTGATTTAAGATATTATTAAAAATATTTAATCAATAATTCTACGAAAATTTTCAAGTAGTATAAAAATATTAAATAATAAAAATAGATGCTAAAAAGAAATAAAAACATGGAATATTTATAACATGGATGTTACCAAGGGCGGAGGCATGCCTTATGGAGTGGGGTCAACTGACCCCAACAAAATTTAATTACCCTTTATGTTTTTTGATAAACTGTGAGATTGACCCCACTGAAAATTTTACATTGACCCCTATAAATATAACTTATACCTATATTTTACTTAAAAAGAAGACCCAAAACCCATATTCTCGAGCTAAAAGTATATTTAATCCTTTTAAATTAAACTCAAATCAGTAATACAGTAATTT